TCCTAGTTATTAGCTTTGAGCAAACCAATGACCAAGAATTTTGTACAGAAGAGAACTAAGCAACAAACAGGATGAAAATCGACGGACTGAAAACCATGAACTTATCTGAAATACGGAGCTAATTACAAAGGATGGGATAATGATTAGATTGAGTCTTGAGTTGCCAGAGCTTTGTAGTGTTGCCTCAGAATCACCAAGATTTGCTTGACTGCACATATACTGGTCTCAGAGCTTTTGTACATTACTTGAAGAAAGAGACAAAGCTGCTTTAAGTTGCTGTGCGATTTGAGGCTAGGAATATCAAAGACTTCAGAATAGCCATTTAAAAATTAGCCATTTATAGCCTTTATTTCCATATTGTCTTCTTTCCAGCCAATAAATAACAAAATTTGATCTTCAGTGCAAGATCACATGCAGTCTATGGAAAAACCACGGTTATAACTGCATGGCTTTGGGTAAGTCATTTAACTTCTCTGATCTTCAGTTACCTTATATGAAGCATGGGCTTGAGGATGCTATGTTGTGTTAATAGTGCTGTGCTGAGAAAAACATATGAAAAAAATATCATAGCATAGTTCACGGTATGCTGAAGAAAATAAATATAGTTTTATGCCTTTCTCTACCTTGAATCAGAATCTCTTTCTGATTCAAGATCACCAGAATATCTTGAGTTCTGTTGAACTCCTGTTTTGCCTAATTTCAGGAAGAATGGCCATTCAAGCACTTTCAGAGGAGGCAGGGTGGGAGTAGGGATGGGGAGACTGTCCGGGGTTTACATTGACATAATGTATTGTCCCCTCACCCATCTGTGAACATTTCAATCCCTCTTTTTAAAGGAACAACAAGTACAAAAGATACTAGGCAGACTTTCATAAGATGCTCCGAGGTAAAGGGAAGTGGGGTGTGATGCATGGACACATGGTAAATAGAGATACCAGCCACTGTTTGCCTGGTGAGTTTACAAAATGAACCCTGTTGGTTTTAAAGGCAGCTAATTAACTAGGCTATATCTTTATGTCTCCTGGGCTCACTTTATTACAGTAGATGGACCTATTATTAGTTTATTTCTTCTTTTTTTTTTTTTTTGAGTCGGGGTTTCGCTCGTTACCCAGGCTGGAGTACAATGGCGCAATCTTGGCTCACCGCAACCTCCGCCTCCTGGGTTCAGGCAATTCTCCTGCCTCAGCCTCCTGAGTAGCTGGGATTACAGGCACACATCACCATGCCCAGCTAATTTTTTGTATTTTTAGTAGAGATGGGGTTTCACCATGTTGACCAGGATGGTCTCGATCTCTTGACCTCATGATTCACCTGCCTTGGCCTCCCAAAGTGCTGGGATTACAGGCGTGAGCCACCGCAGATGAAAAATTGTGGTGATGATGAAGGTACTCTCAACAGTAATATTTCTCTAATGTCTTCATTTTCTATGAGTTCTCTCTTCTGTATTAGAGAAACAGCCTATTTGGTAAAAATTAGCTAAGTATGAGGATTCCATATAATAGAATTCCTTACTTTGAATTTGGAATGCCTCTCTTTGTAAGCTTTAACTTCACTTTTGTAAAGCTGTGTTTCATAAGACATGCTTTTTATTAAAAAAGTTTTAATAAAAAGTACAATGTATCTATGCTTTTTAAGGAGAAAAAGAATGTTAGAAATAGCGAAGAGATTTGGATTCATGGGGTTTAGCTACTGTCTCTTGAAAGCAAGTGAATTTTGAGTAGAGAGGTGAGGAATTGCATCTCTAAGAATGGTGGAGATAACCATCTCACTTTCTTACACTAGGGAAATGGGAGATCTGTGCAGATTTTAAGTGTATTAACAGACTTTAATGTTTTTAAATGACATTAAATGACGAGCTCTTGAAACCTTTAACTTGGAGGAAATAGGAAAATCCAGGAGAGGTGAATTCTCCTATGTCAGTAGTCAAAATTGATGAGTGCTATCCTCCCTGCAGGCCACAGGCCAAACTGGCCTCTATGCACCTGAGTGAAAAAGACAACATCTTGAAAATGAGCGACTGTAAAAACTTAATAAGAAAGTCAAAAGGAACTTATTTGACTAGGAGGAAAAAAATTAACATAGCATGTGTTAAAAGGCTTTTTTCTTTTCTTTCTCTTTTGTTTTGTTTTTTTTCTTTCATTTAACCCAAGGCTATGAAATGCTCTTGCTCTGTATAAAAAATATCAGGGAGCTTTTTATTTTGTATTTTTACAAATATTTCCATCTTTAAGACTAGAGTGCTCTGGCTTTTGGCTAACAACATGTCCAGATCTAAAGGCATCACAGGAAGAATGGCAATTTGCTCTAGAAGCAATTATACATACAGTATAGAAAAAGGCCAATTTTACTATGCAGGGACCACACATACTGTATGTTTGTTATATTATTTGATATCAAAGCAGAAGCAGAGACATCAAATTCTTCCTAAAACACACACGAATTGAAGAGCTTGGCTAAGGAACTGCCATATCCAATTTAGAGATATCTGTTACAGCTCACAGATCTCAGTAATGTTGACATTACTGTTGTACAGGAAAAGGATACTTTCATTGGCTACATAATACACTATGATTTCCTTAACTTTCTTATCATAATATAAAGGTTTACGTTATCAGTGTAGGGCATTTAAGTACTACATTACCAGAGTAATAGCTGGAGGAACTTGTTGACTTTTGTCACTAGGTGACCTCAAAATATTTAATCAAACATCAAGATCATTATCATAACCTCAGAGAGGGTAGTCTATAGAAGAATTATTGTCTCTGTTTCATTTTGCATCATTATGATGTTGGTGTGATGACTTTTGTTCATTTGTTTAGCGTACTTACTGAGTGTCTCTACGCAGTGCCAAACACAAGTATAAGGAATGCAGAGCTAATTGGGACATGATCCTTAGGAAATATATTCTTTGGTGGGAAAGGGGAGATAGACAGAAAATGAGCTTCATAAACAGGATAGTGCATGCTATATTTTATATATCATTTGTAGAGAAAGAAAAGAGTGGGGAAATAATTTAGCATATGATATAGAAAAGAGTCAGGGAGGATAAAACATGAAGTCATTTTTAAATGAAGAAGGATAGTTTGTAGGGGAGGGTTGGGGATAGGGTCCTCCAGGAATAGGGAAAAGCATGGAAAAGCCCTGAGAAAGTGAGAGACCAGGCTGCAAACCATCTGCTATTCCTAGAGCAGATCTGAGTATGAAGAAGGACCATACCAGGAAAGCTCTGCACACCATGATAAGAAGTTTGAACTTCATACCATGAAGTATATTTTTATATATTTACCAAATATTCTGAAGATAAATTATTCTAAAATAATTAAAACAGTATGACACTGGTATAGCTAGAGATAGATGAATGAATAAGACAGAATAGGAAATGGACAATCAAAATAGAAAATTAGAGGGTGAATATGTAGAAGTTTAATATGTGAAAAAGGCAGCATTGGCTGAGCGTGGTGGCTCATGCCTGGTAATCCCAGCACTTTGGGTGGTTGAGGTGGGTAGATCACTTGAGATTAGGAGTTTGAAACCATGAAATCAGTACATACTTTTTGGAAGGTAATTTTTCAACATCTCTCATATAAAACATGCATAATCATTTGATCCTGTACGTCCATAGCTAGCAATGTACTTTATTGAATTAATATATTAAAACCATAAAAACAAAAAAGTTATGAAAATATATAATACACAAATATATCAATATATACTATATATTAAAATATATAAATACATGAACACACAAATGTGCAAAGATAGTATAACAATATTTATTGCACTATTGTTTGCAATAGCAAGAATTTGGAAACAACCTACAGGTCTACCATAGAGTTTAATTTCATAAATTGCAGCATATAGATAAATAAATTACTATGTTGTTAAAGAGAATATATTGGCATGGAAAGATATCCATAGTATAAGTTTAACTGAAATAAATAATTGGCAGAATAGTATTTATAGTGTAATCTGGCAAGAGAGGTAGTGATCTACAGCAGTTAAGAGCATGGGCTTTAGGGTCAAGCAGACCTAGATTTGAATCCCAGCTCCATTACTCACCTGAAATGTGAAACTTACTGACTTCTCTGAGTTTTGGTTTGTTTATCTGTTTAACTGAAATGGAACCCAACAGAACCTACATCATAAAGTTGTAAGGAAAATCCCTACTACATAATAGAAGCTAAATATACACTAGTTATTATTATTGTTGTTACATTTTTGAAAGATTTTTATTTTCAACCAATTTTCTTATAAAATCAGCTTCCAAAAGCAAATATAATATTCTTTGAAAACTTATATTGGATACAGTTTTTAACTGAATCTACACATTGAAGATAATTTTAGCCTATGTAAACAAATATTCTAATTTATCTGACCATTTAATAGATAAGATAATAAATTGGATGTATCAATTTATTTTTAAAGATAGTCTTGCTGTCGTCCAGGCTGGAGTGCAGTGGCGCAATCCTAACTCACTGCAACCTCCTCCTCTTGGGCTCAAGTAATCCTCCCACCTCAGCCTCCCAAGTAGCTGGAACTACAGGTGTCAGCCACTGCTCCCAGCCTTGATGCATTAGTTTTTGATACAGATCTGTTTTATTTGCATGTTGATAAACTAGAGTGTGAATGGGGAATGAATTTGGACATTATATTTTAGTACCAAAATAAAGAACTGTTGAGTTTAGTTAGCCCCAGTCATAGAAACTTTAAAAAGCCCTAGTGGCATAAATTAAGAATTATCCTCTAGTCATTAAACTAGTTATTAATATATTCTTGTGGTAGTTACCATTATATGTATGTGTGTATGTATGTGTATATGTGTAGATGTATATATATATATGCAGTTTTCAATCACATCATTAGGAAAAACATGACAAAGTAGAAAGGTACCCTTTTAAGTATTTTGCCCCTATTAAGACTAGGAAAATAAACCATTCAAAATGAGAAGACATATTAAGTAAAAACACATTAAAATGTGACTATATGAAGAATATACATACCCTTCCACTTGGAAAATCATTCGAAAACTGTCTCCCAAGCTTTTATAACTGTTTGGATCAGTTGCACATCTCTGAATCTGAAACCTAGAAGCAAAATTAAACCAAAAAAATCCAAGTTAAATATTTTGCCAAATGGCTTTTCTCATTTTTCAAAGTCTTAGAAGCTCAGCTTTTCAGATTAATCTAGAATATTCTGCTTTGGTATGAATTTTATTCATTTATTAGCCTTATACAATCTTTATCTTATTTTTATAGCCATTAAAATTATATTTCTCTGTACTTTAATGAAATCTATAAAAAAATTTTCATCTATTTCTTAACCAGGCAGATTTTCCCTGAGGCATTTATGCTTTTTCCTTTTGTGAAAAGCATACACAGATATCGTGGATTGTTTTAATGTAGAATTCAGAAATCTGAAGATGCATATGAAACAAGCCAGTGGTGGTATTTCTTATCTTAATGAGAATTCCTTGATGACAATTTAGTACAAAGGTTCAGAATCCACTAGAAACGTAAACAAGTTTACAAGAAAAAAACAACCCCATCAAAAAGTGGGCACAGGATATGAACAGACACTTATCAAAAGAAGACATTTATGTGGCCAACAAACATGAAAAAAAGCTCATCATCACTGGTCATTAGAGAACTGCAAATCAAAACCACAATGAGATACCATTTCATACCAGGTAGAATGGCAATTATTAAAAACTCAGGAAACAACAGATGCTAGAGAGGATGTGGAGAAATAGGAAGGCTTTTACATTGTTGGCAGGAGTGTAAATTAGTTCAACCATTGTGGAAGACAGTGTGGTGATTCCTCAAGAATCTAGAACTAGAAATACCATTTGACCCAGCAATCCCATTACTGGGGTATATGCCCCGAAAATTATAAATCATTCTACTATAAAGATACATGCACATGTATGTTTACTGCAGCACTATTTACAATAGCAAAGACTTGGAACCAACCCAAATGCCCATGATGATAGACTGGATAAAGAAAATGTAGTACATATATACCATGGAATACTATGCAGCAATAAAAAAGAATGAGTTCATGTCTTTTGCAGGGACATGGATGAAGCTGGAAGCCATCATTCTCAGCAAACTAACACAGAAACAGAAAACCAAACACCTCATGTTCTCACTAATAAGTAAGAGCTGAGTAATGAGAACACATGGATACAGGAGGGGGAACATCACACACAGGGGCCTGTCAGGGGCTGAAGGGGCAAGGGGCAGGAGAGCATTAGGAAAAATATCTAATGCATATGGAGCCTAAAACCTAGATGATGGGTTGATAGGTGCAGCAAACCACCATGGCACATGTATACCTATGCAACAAACCTGTACGTTCTGCACATGTACCCCAGAACTCAAAGTGAAATAAAAGAAAATACAGAGTAGGTAATAGGGCCTAACTTTGATCCTGATAGTAAATTTGGGATTCATTCTGGCAGGCAGGGGTCTGCACTTAAAGCAAGAGTTGGGGTTGTATATTGAGGTCGTATTACTCTACAGTTTACTATCACTACTCCATGATAGAACAAGGTTGATCATTCTGGATAGTTCAGGCTATCCCGACTTTCACAGAAGCACAGTGCCCTATATATACTTAGAGCTCAATAAACATGCATCTCATTTTTGAAAGTTAAATTCTTTTTTCTTCTTTTTGCATATGATCATGCATCTCCGAACTCTTAGCACTCCAAATGTGGCAGTTTACAGTACAAGGGCTTATCTTTTTGTTTTGTATTTGTTCTGGAGTTTGTCTTAAAGAGGCTTATGACAAGTACTCCCATTTCTCCCATACCTGAGCTGTTCTGTATTCTTTGGGTTCTTTAGCCTGCCTATTCCTTGTGCTTTACTTTATTGTTCCTGTTGTAACTTAGGGCTCTTCTTCCTTCTGTGGGAGGGAATTCCCGCCACAGTTATCACCAAAATTTTACCTGGTTTTTAAAAATAGCTTTTCAAAAACATTTCTGATGTTATTTAGTTCAAAATGATTTTTGTAGGTCATTGGCTTGATGATATGGCCACAACGTCTACTTCTAAGAATAACATATTTTATAATTCTAGGCCTCAGGGCATTATGCTGCAAACTGACACATATCAGACAGAAGAATGAAAGTACTGCTTCGACTGAAGCAGTTGGGCATATGGCCAGAGTGAGTGTGGGATAATACTGAAAAGCAAAGCAAGGCTGGAATTACGTTTGGTTTGGTAAAGTAGAAAGTTGCTACATATGTTTGTGCAAGAGAGTACTGTTCAGAGAAGGGGAGTTCAATCTTCTAGCAGAGTTCTTTGCAATACAAATCTCTAAATGAATATCTATTGACAGACTGGATGGATTAGAATGGGGGTATGGCAGGAAGAACAATTAGGAAGGAGCTACAATGGTTTGGGTAAGAAATAATGATGCTAGAGTATAAATAAAGAGAGCAGAAATATAATGAAAGGGGCAAGCTTGTTGGGTAGTCGTTTTCTCCTTAATTTTTAAAAATGACACATTTAACATATTCTCCTTTTTTTTTTTTTGTGACAGAGTCTTGCTCTGTTCCCAGGGTGGAGTGCAGTGGTATGATCACAGCTTATAGCATCTTTGAACTCCTGGGCTCAAGCTCAAGGGATCTTCCCACCTCAGCCTCCGGAGCTGGGACTATAGGCATGTACCAACACGCCTGGCTAATTTTTACAATTTTCTTATAGATGCGGGCCTCCTCTTCTTGCCCAGGCTGGTCTGGAACTTCTGGGCTCAAGCAATCCTCCCGCCTCGGTCACTCAAAGTGCTGGGGTTACAGGCATGAGCCACTGACCCTAGACAACAAATAACTTTGAAACATACAGAGCAATTTCTAAAATATAACTTTGGCTCTAGTTCAAATAAGAATATTCATTTCTGTATTTGCATATTTGTAACCCATATTCATTGCTGAGTATAAAACCCTTCCTTACATCTTGTTTGTAAAACCAGTACTCTTCTCTAACTGTTCTTTTAAAAAAATTATTCAAAATAGTTTTATATATTATGAAAGTATCATATAAGCATAGAGGCCTCATAATATCTGTAATAAGCTTTCATTAAGTTCATTTACCTCAGCAAATTCCTTTCTAGATGCATTTTCCCAAATCACCAATTATTTTCTTAATGTGTGCCATATGATTTAAGATGCTACAGGTTTTACAAAAATCCAGGGTATTACCTTCAACCTCAAGAAGCACAAGAAAGAAATATAAGAAACAAATAACTATATAAGAGGAAATATGCGGAATATGAAGTAGCATCGGCACTGGGTTGTCCAGGTGTTCACGAGGGGAGCAATTACTGCTTTCTGCAGAGGGTCAGGAAGGGTTTCAGGAAAGAAGGATTTCAGCTGGTCCTTGTGGGAGTCAGAGAGTAAACCAGGGGGAAGCATTCCAGGTGGGGAAATGACAATAACAATGGCCAGTGAGGGAAAGCTGTCCTTTTAAATGGGGAAGCGAACACCACAGCCTCCTACCCTGGGTTTCCTTAGGGAAAATGTTATAGTACTCTGCTTGCTGCATGCACTTGGTTACTCAGGGTGCATGGAGACTTGAAGTGGTTTGGTAGAAGGTATGTAGGAGCTAAAGTCAAAGCCCAGTATAAAGTACTTGACCTTTTGTGCTGCTCCCCTCAGCACTCCAGCTACCTCAGGATGGCCACTGCACCATTATGTAGCCCTGGTTCCAGATGGGTCTGTGAACAAGTCAGCAGATGGGCCAGGCAAGCACATGCTATGCCTAGACATTCAACCTTACCCTTTCCTTCCCTGCCGGGGTTAGAGACCTCAGCTTTGCCTATGACGTCTGCATTCCCAGGTTATTCCCAGGTGGGTTTTCTGATAGCTTGTGCAAACGTGAAGACAGAGTATGATGATTTCACAACTCTAGACATTTTGCTTACTAGTTGCAATTTTGTTTTCTCTTTTCAGAACCCAAGAGATAATTATTTCCAATCTATTATTCATTGAGTTAATAAGAGTTCTTGAACACAACTGTGTATTATACACTCTACCATTTGGAGGCTTACAAAGAAATAAGGCAAAGCCCTGCCTTGTAGAAGCTTTCAGTAAGGTGAAGGAGATGTGCAAACAGATGATTACCATACACAAAAACTATTGTTTAGAAATAGTGTCTCAGAGTATCAGATGCTAGCCAGCGAGTTTTACTGTATTGAAACTAGCACCACTCTTATTGGGAATGATCAACTATTTATGGGTGGGAAATAGTGCTTTGCAGAGTCATTGGAAGGGAGGGGGGAAATAAAGAAAGAATATCTTTGGGTTACATATCTGCAATTAAACTTTACCCACAGATTTTAGAACAGGCAACAAGGAAGGGAAGTCCATGAAATCTTTGAGGTGTGCTTCATTTAGGAGCTGACTGATGAGTGATGCTGAGTTAATTACAACCAGGAGCGGCAACATCAAAATAACATTACAGGAGCAGAGTCCATAAACTGAGTTAGATGAGCAATGCAAAAGGATGGGCAGGCATGGTAACTACTAATGCCCCAGTAAAGCTTCCCTTCCATTCTTAACTATGCTAAAGCCGCGGGAGGCCCCATTATACGGGATAAGTTAAGGACAATTGTCTCTTCTACCGTGCATCTCACATATATCATGTCTACACTTTGCAGAGAAAGTACTTGCAGTATTTGGTTGCAGTATTCCATTCCACTACACATGACTTATTCTGATCACAGAGTTATCAGTTTTTCTCAGGAATCTGTTTCAAGTTGATATAATTACAGTGCATTTTGGTCAATCATGTAAAACAGCAATTTCCTTCTTCCTCTGCTCTACATTTCAGCAACTTAAAAGGTTTCTCTCTTGGATTGAAGCTTTACATCAGCATGTTCCAAGCTGCATTTTCTGCTAACAAATTCTCTCTATTCTCAGGGAGACAATTTTCCAGTTACGTAACACAACCCCTTGTAAAATTACAAAGGCAAAGCCACACCATTCTTGATTGCATTTAGAAGAAAGGGTTGGATCTCTCCATTGTCCTAATAAAAGCAGTTTAGATACATCTGGAATATCCATCTAAGTAACTTCTTTTAT